GACTCTTTGGAAACAAGCTAGCAAGTAGAGGAATAGGAATCTTTATAGTTTATTACCAGGAATATACACTCAGAAATAGGCTAATGTTGACTATAAATAAATTCCACGGTCAACTATATTACTATCAAAATTATAGTAGTACCCAAGCAACCTAGATGTTAAGAACAAAGAATGCCCATGTTTTAGTAATTGTTGCTTCAACTTCCTCCTCTATCAAACCTTTCAAAAGAGTTTTAGAAAAAGGAAACAAACATGGCTGAGATTTGTGTCAGGCTTTACATGAGGTGAATATATGGAGTTGTAGCACAGCCACAGAGCTCGAAGGCCCTAGTGGTGGTTCTACAGCCTAGACTTTTGAGTGTCCTTGGAGAAATAGATTAACTTCCCTCCATCTCAGTTTCTTCATCTTTAAAAACAAAAGGACAAGTGATATGCAAGTTTTATACATGGCAAATGTTCCATGGTTAAACAATTCTACAGCAATAAAATCATGATAGATTAGCTATATAATTAGACCCAGAACGCTAGTAAGAATGGATTGGTATTAAGCAAACAATGACTGTTACTTAAATTCAGAGGCAGACAGAGATGCATGGGTTGGAAACTATAGGCCACAGTTCATTGCTACAAACCCTGCTTTCTTGTGGGCCACACTCCTGGCTGAGACAGTCTACCAGTCTGTCATTCAAAGTGCTCCAGGAGTCTGGAATGGCTTTTTTGCCATTCCAATTTCAACTACGAACCTTCCCAAGCCTATAGAAAAATCAGTTTACTGGTTAACTTCTAAACACTTGTATTTCCTCAGCTTTGTATTTTCACTCAGCCTCAAATTTGTATTTCACTGCACCTGCCAGAAATGCTTTTTCTTTCTCCTCTTTGCCCAAGCAAAGACTAACACAGACTGAATCTGATCTTATTTTGTTAGAACAGTCCCAGAATTCCCTGTGCAAAAAAAAATTCTCCTTATACCGAAATTACAGCCATCATCTATACAATTAATTTAACAAGCATATAATGCTTTGTGATATCTACAGTTAACATTATTGAACTTCTCACTCCTCTACGCTTGTCTCCTAACTAAACTGAAAACAACTGTCTTTTTCTTCTGTTTCTCCCACAGTACCCTGCAGACAGCAGGATTTTAATCACTATTAATTCTACAACATAATAGAGCATAAGCAAAATTCTCAACTGTCTACTGAAATCCAAGAAGGCAAGTTAGCACAGAAAATAATGGTTTGATCGACGAGTTGACCTGGCATGAATACTGTCAAGTCTTTACATTAATAAGAATGGCTTAAGGCCGGGCAAGGTGGCTCATGCCTGTAATCCCAGCAATTTGGGAGGCCGAGGAAGGTGGATCACCTGAGGTCAGGAGTTTGAGACAAGCATGGCCAACATTGTGAAACTTCGTGTCTACTAAAAATACAAAAATTAGCTGGGCCTGGTGTCTGTAGTCCCAGCTACTCTGGAGGCTGAGACAGGAGAATCACGTGAACCCAGGAGGCAGAGGTTGAAGTGAGCCAAGATCGCTCCACGGCACTCCAGCCTGGGCAACAGAGTGACACTCTGTCTCAAAAAAAAAGCCTGTTGCTAGGTGACCCCAGCCTATGGCTGCTGGAGTTTATCCTCCCGAGGGAGTGGTGCGAGGTTAGGACTCAGCTCACACGCCTGGATCCCCCAACACTGCGAGGGCTTCTCCTGGCTACCGCTTTCGTTCTGGTGAATGTCATGGGTGGCAGCCTTCTTCAAGGCTTGCACGAGGGCGGCGCGGCATCTGCGATCAAGCCCGCCCTGCTGCTTCTGGGGTTGACCCTGCGGCTGGGGTGCTGTGGGGTCACGCTGGCTAGGCCCGGTCCACTCATGGGCTCCCTGCTTTGGCCTGCTCAGTTCAGGAGAACTGGGCCGACCCCATGTCTGGCAGGGGTGTGGCTGAGGAAGTGGGGGGCAGGGAAACTAGTGCCTGCCTGGTGGTAGTCCCAGGCATGGCTTCCTGATGCCATCTTGAGGCTCACTTCTGGTTTAGTTGCTTTGGCCACCGAGGAGAAATGCGCAGTAAGAACTCTGTAGGAGGCTGCTTGCCTGACATGGTTTCTGTCTTGAATAGTTGCTGAGTGAAAGGTAAAGTGTTTGATTATCTATATATGTGTATGTATATATACATATATGTTCCCATCAGTGAAAATACTTAACTATTATTTTGGGGAGGAGGGAGGTTAATGTATTTTGCATTAAAAAAAAAAAGATATTCCCCAGCCAGGCATGCTGGCACATGCTATAATCCCAGCATTTTGGGAGGCCAAGGCTGTCGGATCATGAGGTCAGGAGGTCAAGAGCAGCCTGGCCAACATGGTAAAAGCTCGTCTCTACAAAAATACAAAATTAGCCAGGCGTGGTGGTACATGCCTGTAATCCCAGGCTGACGCATGAGAATCACTTGAACCTGGGAGGCAGAGGTTGCAATGAGCCAAGATCGCACCATTGCATTCCAGGTTCAAGTGATTCTCATGCGTCAGCCTGGGATTTCAGGCATGTACCACCACGCCTGGCTAATTTTGTATTTTTAGTAGAGATGGGGTTTTACCACGTTGATCAGGCTGGTCTGGAACTCCCGACCTTAGGTGATCCACTCACCTGTGCCTCCCAAAGTGCTGGGATTACAGGCGTGAGCCACTGCCCCTGGCCATAAGCTATTGTTATAGTAAGAAAGGGACGTCCCAAATCATATATGCAGCATTTACTGTACCAGTTCAAATACTCAATATTGAATTAAGTATTCAAGAACTGTTTAGTTCTTGAATAAATAATCAATTCTCAACTATACATTTTTAACGTATAAAAGGAAAAGAACAGGAAACACAAAGAAATAGGTAAAGAACTATGCTGGAGGACTGAAGTTAGATCTCCTATTCCAGGTATGTTAGGCTAAAATAAGTACTCACCTTGGAACTGAATCTACAGAGGATGAAGATGGGACCTTGGAAACTTGACAGTTTGCTGCGGCAGCCAGCTTTAAGGCAGATGATGGAACAGCACTTAAAGTCCTAGGTATATGTCGTGCATTTATTGGGGCAATAGAGTTTACAGTGGCAACTGATGAAGGTACAGTTAATCGAATGTTGTTCCCAATCAGAACCTGAGTTGTTGCAGAATTGGCAGCAGTTACTTGATGACTCAGTGCACTGTGGGAACTTGAAGTCTGTGTAATATTTGAGGGCTGTAACAAAGCTGAACCTGCCGTTGATGGACTTGTATGTACAAGTGCTGTTGGTGTAGTACTACTGAGGTGTAAGCCCTTGTATACTCCTAGAGAGAGAAAGAAAGAAACATCTAAACAACATGCAAGTTTGCTGTTTATATTATAGATATATATTATAAATATAACCCAAACAATTTAAATGTCTTTATTCTTACCTGAGGCTGGAAGGACGCCATTCACCCCGATTCCAAGCACCACATCATCCTTCATCTTGAATCCCATCAGTTGTTCTGATGTCACCAAAGCAGAAGCAGCAAACTGAGCACTAGCAGAATCCAAAGTCTTAGAAACAAAACCCTAAAAAGAAAATATAAAAGAAATCTAATCAGTGTCACTTAGTATCAAATCAGTATCAAAGCTACACAGGTATACCAAAATAAGCTTGAATATAATAAATAAAAATGGCAAACCACTGAAATCTCTTTCTTTTTTAGTACCTTGAGATGCAACAGTAATTATGTCTTTTGATAGTCATGTATTTGAAAAATGAAAAGTAATCTAAGTTATAAATTTAGCTTCATATGTGACAATATATAACATGTAAAAGTCAATTACCAAAATAAGCCTTCTATAATGTGGAAACAGAAAAACTCCAACACAAAATGTTGGACAAGAAATATGCTAGTAAACATTTCAGGCCAGGCGTGGTGGCTCATGCCTGTAATCCCAGCACTCTGGGAGGCCGAGGTGGGTGGATCACGAGGTTAGGAGATTGAGACCATCCTGACCAACAAGCTGAAACACTGTCTGTACTAAAAATACAAAAATTAGCCAGGCGTGGTGGTGCATGCCTTTAGTCCCAGCTACTCGGGAGGTGGAGGCAAGAGAATCACTTGAATCCAGGAGGTGGAGGTTGCAGTGAGCCCATACCGAGCCACTGCACTCCAGCCTGGTGCCGGAGCAAGACTCCATATCAAAAGAAAAAAACAAAACAAAACAAAAACCAAAACCAAAACCATTTCAGTGATTTGCAAATATATATAATGAATAAATGAACATGCAAACTTCCTTCACCTAATTTATACACACGCACATATGTATACACACACAATGAAAGGCACCTTTGGGATAAGATAACTATCCCTTTAGAAATGGAAGTAACAAAATATCACATAATTTAACCTAGAAATTGATAGGCCCCTCAACTTTTTAAAAATGAATTTTTCCTGCAAGATGCATAGAGACTCAAATCTCAGGCTTTATGCCCCACATGTGTTTAAATGGCAAACGTTTATCATGCTTTAGGTTTAAAAGTTATCTTTTTCAACAGTAAGAGAGATTATTTTTGCATAATTTTAAAAGTCTTAGTAATAATTAACATGCCCAAGAGAATGAACTGGGTGGGGTTATATTCAAGAGGTACATTAACAGACTACAGGTCAGATGGGAAGACAGTATCTTCATCTCATTTAACTAAGTGCTTTAGTTTTACTTTTTAAAATAGGGAGCAGAGGCAACAGCTTCCATACTCACCTGTAGTGTTCTTTCTAAACCCTGTATATTCAGGCGAAAGCCACTTTTCTGCTGGTTAGATGCAAGGTTCTATGACAACAGTTGGTAATTAGAGATGAACTCTGGTGGGAAACAATGAGGGATAATCATAAGACAGACAAATCCCTCACCTGTGATGTGTTGGTGGAAGAATTAGTATTTGCTTGCTGTTGCTGAATTTGTGCAAGCTGCTGTTTCTGCATGAGTGCCAGTTGCTGTTGATGTTGCTGGTATTGTTCGGCTGTAAATGCTGAACATAAAATAAAGAAACACTTTATAAAAATGCCCAGATATCATATATGTCTTACAATACTAAAATGAAAATTCTGCATTAAAAGAAATTTGTGCAAAATTGAAGCATCTGACAAAGGTTCCTGATCCTGCTAAAGATCACTTCCAAATGAAAATTTCAGCATTTTTGCTACCACATTTAACAAGAGTAGCTTGAATTTAAAGAAAAAAAATTAAACTTCCTGAATTAAACATAGGAAAGAGAACTGCTCACTTCCCAAGTTTCAACACCACTATTTTTTTTAAGCTATGACACTTGTTCTAGACAGTGTAGAAAGGTAATAGCCTTTAAAATCCATAGATTTGGAATTCAACTTTGCACTGAACTTGAGAGGAAATCTGGTAATTACCATTTGGTTTCTATTTAATCCATATCTTCCCAATGCATTCAGGTGATCCCTAACAGCTCTGTGTATAAATACTAATTGTTCTACACAGTTTCTAATTATAGTCATTAAAAAAATTTCCTCTATATGAAAGATCACAGTTGTTGGTTGGTTTACTGCCCTTTTTTTTTTTTTTTTTTTTTTTTTTTTTTAGAGAACTCATCCTTTAAGTTTAACAGGAAGAAAAGAGGCTCCAATGTTAAGGTTAATTACTTTTCCCCACCCAATTAACCCACCTGGAAAAAATCCAGTCAATAAGAACGGAGTTGTTTATGCTGATTTACTGTACAGAATGATGTCTGAGGAAAGACACTGTGTTATGCTACTTATGTTTGTCTATGGAGAGCTCAGTTCTAAAAAAAACAAACAAAAAAATGTTCATTTATTACCCCCCAAAAAAATGTGTGCAGTTTTTTAAAAGGAAACCTTTTTCTCTTTTTTGCCAATAAAAAAAAAGCACATACAATCACAATACCTCTGACTTTAAAGGCTTCTTTAAGAAGCCTGTGATGTTTGTTTGAGTAAGGATTATTTTAAAACAAAAAAAGGTTTATCATGCATCCCTGGTTACCAGGGAAATCTACAAATCATGCACATTTCCTCAATATAAAGTTTAGTGTTTTCAAAATACTGTCACCTAATTTGTTGCTGTTTAACTGTAGCTTGGTAATTTAGTTAGAATATCATTTCAAGTTATATAATTTTCACCTATATAACTCATGAAGAATCTTTCTTCATCCTCCAGGATAGAGTTTCTGGTTGGTACACCTAGAAAATGTTTAGGTACAAATTCTGCCATAGTTTGAATGGATCAGAAAGTTGTGAAATAGTAATATTCAAGAAAACTTCCTAAATTATTAGGATCTACACAGGCTCTTATACTTGAGTGGAACTAAGTTCTTGTGCTACAAGGGGAAAAAGTAACTTCTTGTTGGAAAAATTCTACTATTGGTTTTCTTATTTTCTGTGTTAAAATCTGTTTAGTTGATGCCTGTCCTTTGACAAACTCCATTTCCAACTATGTTCATAATTCACAAATCTGCAATCTACAGAAAATATTTTTAATGACAATAGAATGCTCCCTAAATATGGATATAAAATAACTGCCAACATGATCATTTCCGTATAAACAGAAATGTGTTGTATCGAAACTCGAAGAAAATCTAAAAAAAGTCAATGCTGCCCTAAAACAATTTCATAGTTTATGTTTAAAAAAATCCACAAAAAGCAATTATTTAAATGTAAGGATTCTTAATTCACTAGATACTTTTGCCAATATGTTTTTGAGATTTACAGTTTAATTTCCTAAGTTTTAGTGTGTTGCCTAAACCTTGATTTTTCTAGTAGGGAATGCTCAGTAAATTTAAAAGCAAACAAATCATTTTTGGAAGGTCATCACATATATAGGAAAACAATAATTTAGCATTCACTGAATGCCTATGTATGAAAGTCCATATATGAGAAAGTATTCTTTTGTATAACTTGATGTTTGTAATTAAAAATTTATCAATAACTAATTAGAAATCAATATGAATAAACTCCAAATATTTTTGCCTTATTTAACATCTTAATTCTGGGTCTTTGAAGGTCTTGTGAATTTCATTTTTTTTTTTTTTTTTTGAGACGGAGTCTCGCTCTTGTTGCTTAGGCTGGAGTACAGTGACGCGATCACAGCTCACTGCAACCTTTGCCTTTCCAGGTTCAAGTGATTCTCCTGCCTTAGCCTCCCAAGTAGCTGGGATTATAGGCGCTTGCCACCACACCTAGCTAATTTTTTTTTGCATTTTTAGTAGAGAAGGGGTTTCACCATGTTGGCCAGGCTGGTCCTTACCTTGTGATATGCCTGCCTCAGCCTCCCAAAGTGCTGGGATTACAGGCGTGAGCCTAATGCTCAGCCAGGTTTTCTATTTCTTATGAGAAATAAAATTCAATTCCTAAAGAAGGCAGGGTGAATGAGTAAGAAAACTTGGACAAAGGTAGTAAATACGGGCAAATGAAATCTGAACTGGGTTTTATATGTTATTTATCAAGAAAAGTCCCCAGGTCTTTATCCTGAGACAACCTCAGGTCATGATACCATTATAACTTGAAAGTTTAACCAAATGCTAAATGGAAATAAGACAAAAATGGCCATTCTTACCCTCCCTAAATGTCTATGAATGATCGAGATTATCAAGGCAGGAAATTTTTAGGTTGTATGTCTACCACCTGATACGGTGTGTGAATCAAGTTTGTAATTCACACAAAGGCAGGCAAGATGGTTGCTGTTGACAGATGACCAAATCTAGAGTCAGAACCCTTTCATAAACCAAAAAATTTTGAGGTCAGGAAGGACCTTGGAGGTTGTAGGACATCTTCCTACAACCTCATCTAGAGATGAAGAAACTTCTGAGGTCACACAGATGTAGTAGTGGAAGGAAAAGAGTACTCCAAAGCAATGAGATTTTAAATTGAAAAAGAAATAGACAAAAATTTTGTCTTAGATTTAGTATTTGCAAGAAATCTAACTTCTGATGTGCCAACAGTATGAATCAAGTGCTTAAAATGGCTGTATACATGACAAACAAGGGTCTATGTGGGGAGGAGAGTCACGTATGGGACAGGATTAAAAGCTCCAAATATTTAACCAGGAATGGGACTAGGAAAGGAAGCACAACAGGACTTCAACTGCATGAAGGCCATTATGATGCTGGAGCAAGGGCAAACTCATTTGGTATGCTTCCATGAGCAAAACAGGGACCTGCAGGTTTAAATTTAAGAAGGCAGTTTTTGGTTCAATAATACATAGACAAACTTTCTAACCAAGATGCTCAAATAACTTGATCTAGAAAGTTACTGAATTTGCCTTCACTAGAAATACTTAGGCAGAAGTAGAAACTACCTTTGTTTTGGTAGCTTCTAAGTAACCAATTCTCTGGGGCAGAAATTCTTTTGAGACAGGGTCTCATTCTGCTGCCTAAGCTGGAGTGCGGTGCTGTGATCTCGGCTCACTGCAGCCTCGACCTCCTGGGCTCAACTGATCCTCTCACGTCAGCCTCCCAATCAGTTCTAGCTGGGACTACAGGTGAGTGTCACCATGCCTGGCTAATTTTTGTATTTTTTGTGGAGACGGGGGTTTCACCACGTTTCTCAGGCTGGTCTTGAACTCCTTGGGCTTAAGGGATCCACCTGCTTTGGCCTCCCAAAGTGCTGGGATTACAGGCATGAGACACTGTGCCCGGACTAAGACTCTCTGAGTCCACCTGTACTACAGGGAAGCCATGGCACAGTGCACCAGCAGCTGGAACAGCCTACAGTTCAGACTGCTGCTCTGTGTGTTGCAGTCTTGTAGCTAAAGGTGATCAACTGAGACGATCAAAGGAGTGTGGCTGAGGGGAAAGTGATGGGTGCTAAAGAAACATTTGGCCATGAAAGACAGAGTTTAGATTGCCAAAACGCACATTTTTTTTTTTTTTTTTTTTTTGAGACAGAGTCTTGCTCTGCCAGCCAGGCCTCCCAGGTTCAAGTGATTCTCCTGCCTCAGCCTCTCAAGTAGCTGGGATTACAGGCACCTGCCACGATGCCAGACTAATTTTTGTATTTTTAGTAAGATAAGGGGTTTCACCATGTTGGCCAGGCTGGTCTTGAACTCCTGACCTTAAGTGATCCACCTGCCTCGGCTTCCCAAAGTGTTGTGATTACAGGCATGAACCACAGCACCTGGCACTCAAAAATATACTTTGTTTTTAATAACAAAACCAAAAGTAACCTCAAATGCCTTATTTAAAAAAACCCTGAAATAGAATTTTATTTTAGTACACAGGCTGAACACTATTTCAATATAAAACAAAAGGCAACTTTAAAGAAATACAAAGTAAAATTATTCTTCAGGTAGTTATTAAAGTATGATTTCCTAATTAGTGAGACTGAGTTGACAAGATTCATGAGCCTTTATCAGCAATCTAGAAATCTAATTTGAACACCAAAGTTTGTTGTAATTCAATTGTTGGCAAACTATGACCAGACCTGACTTCATCTGGCTGTGAATGACTGAACATGAGATTTGTAGTTAAATATTCCTCTGAGTGCGAATATGCTTGCGCTTTATTATATGACTGTAGAACTAGTAATGTATTTTACTACAGGTGCTACTCCAGACTCTGCTACAGATGTTATGTGATAATCCACTTTCTATAGTAAAAAAATTCTGAATTTTGGAACACATTTGAATTAAGTCAAGGTCACAAAATCTTACAAAATATTCAGTGCTCAAATCTAGAGTTCTTTTTCTACAATAAGATTAAAATTTTATGTTACAAACTAAATTACACTAAGTTACAGATATTAAGACTTGGAACATATCATTCTAACCACATATCTCCTATTCGTTTATGAAAATAAACCAAATCTTTACTGCAGATATGAGAGCTTAGGAAAATGAAGTAGAATGCTGGTAAAAATTTTATTGGAAATTAGGAATTCACCTCTTGAATACAAAATTGTAGCTTAAAAATCACTTTCTGTTTCCAGTCTTTCTGAATTATATAAGGACTCTTACATAAGAGTCCTTAAGAATTATAAAAAAGGTATTAAT